CTTCAATGCATCATCAAGGGCTTAGAAGTACCAGGCAAATAAGTACTAGGATTGTATCCTTTTTGTAACTCATTTTTAATGAGTTCAGTTTTCATATGTGACTTTTCTAGGCGCCTGTAGTATTTGTGGTTTTTTTTCCCCCATAATGTATGGCCTTTTGTACTCATTGTTTCTGCTGATGTGAATTCAAGCATAAATATACACTGACTAAGTATGTGCTGGGTTCCAGGGCTTATTAAGTAGGGCATAACAACCCGTTCTTACTACAGAGATGGGGCTAAGTGCAACTCAGAGGATGGTAGATTGTGCTGAGAATTTTAGCAAAAACCTGGTTATACTAGAGCTGGCTGAGGGTTGGCTGTGATGTATAAGCAGGCTACTTAACTGCCATGTTTTGTAGCCCCAGGGTTAAAAATGTGGGGTATACTTATATTTTTAATAACAACAACAGGGATGTGAAAACAAAAATAAAAAAGAGTAAGTATGAAGTGCAAGAAAGCACAAAGATGATAGTCATTCTAGTTGCAGCAGAGATAGTGCCTCAAATAAATGCAGTTGCTGACATTTTGTTTGATTTTGATGAAGTGTATCCTGCATGCTTTCTGATTAACATTCCTAGAAAATTAAACATGTCATTACATTTAGACTGATACAACTTTTTTGCTTCTGAAACTGTTCTCCCCCCCTCCATGCTTCTGCCTGGCATCTTTAAGAAAGCATCCCTGTGGCTCTCCCTTGTCTGTTCCTCTTGTAACTTTATGAATTAGTTTGTGAATTTCACCAGATTTGACCAAGGAAGGAAACATCTAAAAGTATAAAGTTTCTCTGAGCTTTGTGAAAATGTTTTTAGAGCCCATGCTGAAGAAAGGGCTTTTGGTGGGGGTTATCCCCTCCTGCACGTGTGAAATTCAGAAGGGACTGTGATGTGGGAGAGCAAGGCTGTTTTAGTTCTGCTGCTCATGTAACTACCGAATATGAACAGTTTACTTGTTGAGCAGCTATGGCTTTTATTCCTTTCAAATACGAGCCAACAGCTTCTCCGTATGCTAAGCAAAACTGCTGTGATCTCTACAGACTGTTCAATGTAGTTTGTTTTGAATCAGTTAATACACTTATTTCCTGAATTTTGCAGCAGATGTTACTTGGGAGTTATTGGAAACAGGCTGAACCTGCTAAGTTAGTTTCTGGGTTTGAAAACACATTTGTTGATTCAATCCAAAGGCCTTTTCTACAGCAAAAAGTTTGATAGCTTACTCATACTTGTGTCATTCAAGTGATACATTCCTAGCCTGTTTTGCTCCAGTAGGGATGCGCTTACTAGTGCATGTATTAAATGCTATTCCTGACAGTGGAAGGAAATAACTATTTATATGCATGTCATCGTTTTTTCTTGTTTTCATGCTATGGCTTGTTCCCATATAGCTGTACTGATTAAAAGTCATTCTGGTAATCAACAGAGTTTAAGACTGGTAGGCCTGGGAATAACGTAGGCCACTGAACTGGGGGCCTGAGCTCCTTGTAGTACTACTTTGCTATTAAATCAGTTGTGGGTTTTAGAGTGTAACAGCCTGAGTAAAGCCTTGCTATAGAATTGGAGACAAAGCAATGGTGATTTTAACTCTGCTGTCTGAAGTGAGCTACGCCTTGGTGGGTGAAACTCAAAAGAGGGGTGAAGAAAAGCTTGCTGCTTAAAAAATCTGCGCTAGCTGCCGTGGATTAGGACAGCACTGCACTGAGCTCATTTTGAAAGGATGGTCACTGAAGCTGTCATGGATACAACTTTATGGAATGCCTAAAAAACCCTAACTCTTTCAGTTAATCAGAAAATGGTGATATATCTCCACGTCTCCCCCTCTTATCCCTTCCTCCTCTCTGTTGGATGGGGTTCTTATTTAACTGAAGAGGTAAGTGTATTTTTTCAGTCCCAATCCAGTCCATCAGTTTTATGATTCTGAAACTCCGCTGTGTTTTTGCTTCTTACCTTTCATAGCTAGGTTTTTGGTGTGGTAGTTGCTTATACAGGGAATACAATTTGTTTCAACCAGATTAAATCAGTTGTTAGTGCATCTAATTCAAATTTGTCTCTAGCTTCATACTGATCGGCTAAGTGATTCTAATGAGGTGTTCTCCTCTCTTCTCCACCCAAGCATTTCAGAGTGTTTTGCAAACATGTGGCACCTTTTAATAGCCATAACAATTTTCTTCATTTTTGAATGATGTGAGTCCAAAGAATTAAGTAATGTTTTTGAAATAACACAGAAAACCTGTGGTAGAGAACAAAATAACTTTGCTGTCTTAGCTGCTGTTCCTATGTTACAAAATATTTCTTTTTCTATATGTTCTTTACTATGACCTGATCTCTTTAGTTCACATTGAACTGGCTCGCTCTGTGCCATTACTGATATCTTACAATTTTTTTATGAGGAATTGTACTATCATATGTATATTTGTGAACTAGCAGTCTTACTTCTAACCGACCATCAACTCCAAAGGGGTTGCAGTTGTCTCTGAATTACAGAGCAGCTTCTCAGACCATGGTGGGATATAAGCAAAGGTTTTTCCCCCTTCTCTTCTCATGTATTTCCTCTCACTCTAAGCAAAGTTTCACCTTGAGTTTCAGGTTTGCTTTAACCTCAGGAACTCAAAACATAACTAAGTGGAAACCACTGAGTTTCTTTCAAATGTTACATGGCTCTGCTATCAAAGCCAAGTTAGATCTGTTTGTGAATTTGTTTGAGACATATTATGAATAAAGGCATGATGTGGGTCCAATCTGAAGAGGGAATATGCAAAAGATGGGGGAGGAAGGCAGGGATGCTGGGGGTCTCATTTGTGGAGATGGGTGTGTACTAGGAAGATAGGGAAGGTGAGATCTTGTTTTGGGTAGTCAAAGAGTAGCAGTAAAATTGTTGGATATATGGGTGCATACCAGAGTGTCAACATTTTGTCTTGAGAGGGCTGTTTTCCTATATTCTGTTGATGTCACTTCTTTTACATACGTCATCTCAATAGTTAAAATCTATCAAGTTTAATTAAGGATAGGTGAGGCCAGTAGAACACCTCCAGACTATTTATGGGGCACCAAGTTGCTGCTTTCATGCAGCCCAACAAAAGAATAATAATTAAAAAAAATTGACACCTTTTGGTGTTGAGTCAGCTTTGGAAAAGAAAGGTAGATCAGATGAATCCTTGTTCTCTCCAGCTCTGTGAAATAATTTTAAAAGCTTCATTAAAGGAGCTTAGAGGGATATTTTTGTTTGGTGAACAGGATCCTGGCTTGGGAGGTGGGAGACTTGGGTAAGTCACTTCACTGGCTTTGCAACTTCATTTCCTCAGCCAGAAAATGGAGATAATTATTTTTACTCTTATTAGTAGTCCTCCAAGAGCTCTTGATGAAAGGAGCGTTTTGCAGGACTGAGTGGCCCATCCACCCAGGGCTGAGCCTGCCTGGGATACGTCGGGGCTTTCCCATGGTGCAGGGTGGGGAGGGCCGGCCGGAGGTGTGGGGTGGGCAGGCAGGCAGCCCCGGCAGCGCTTGGCACTGCACACGCTGGGGCCAGCCAGGGGCTGGCAGGAGGTGTGCGATGGGGCTGCAGGTAATACGTTTTGGCTGGCTGAAGTCCTGCATTTGCCAGCTGGCATGTAACCTGCACAGAGAGCTTGAGGAATGACCTTGCGTTCTGCCATGGGACAGCATCTGGGGCACAGCCGAATGAGGTGCTGGTGGAGCACTGTCCTTCTTCCCGCCTGGATCCTGCCCTTGTGCTGAGGAGTAGGGGCATGGCCCCTGAGCGTGCCTGTGGCCTGTGAACCCTTATCATAGCTTTACTAGAGTTTCGCCTTGCAAAATTTCTGAGCGGGTTTTGTCGGTGGGATTTCAGAAACAAGTGGCATTAATATATGGGTGGAAGAAGCTGTCTTTTAAAGTCTGCAACTTGAATCAATCCTACTGACAAGATTGTGAGACCTGAAGGATGGTCTTGCACTCTTCCATTTACCTTCCTGAATTGGGAATGTCTCTTAGCATGGGCTGTGCTCTGGGTGCTAGCATGAGCACACCTGAAGATATACTGTTCCTCATGTGAAGGGCTGCTCACAAGAGAAAATATCTGCACTTTTCCTTGCTGTTTCAGGGCTTGACTCAAACCATATTAAGACCAATATTTAGATTCCTATTGTTTTTGATGGACTGTGAATTAAGCACTAAAAGTTTCATGAGTCAGATTTCCAAAGGTGTGAAGGTATGAAAGGATGAGGGTGTAGGAAGATCCATGCCTTGAGATTGGGCCTCAGACTGCCTCCAAAATTTTTTACACTCTTGCTTTCAGTAACCTCTGACATACATTTAAGACACAGCTTCTGATCAATGTTAACCAGAAAGGACCTTTGTTAGTTATTGAATAAATCTTGATTTGATCATCTTCTCTCCTTCTGAAAAGCAAACCTTGTTTATTTTTCAGAAACTGAGAAATTGGGGGCTATAAGAGGAACTGAATGTGTTGTAAATTTAACAGTGGCAAATGCTGTCTGTGTTTCCTTAGAATATAAACTAAGTTCATACATGTGCATGTGTAGTTGTGATGACTTGAAGTTACAAGTTGTGAGCTGCTTTTCCACTTCTCAGTATGGCTGTGCAGCAAATAAATGAGGGATTTTGTCAAAAATAGTGTCTTCAGATCTTGTCAGTTGAACTTGAATCAAGGATTTTGCCAATCATATACTTTGTTAAGGATTTACTGGGCTGGAAGGAAAATCGGCTAACAAGAATCTAGATGGTTCTCTGCATATTTTTTGTGTCTGAGGTAGGATGAAACTGCTCATTATGGGTCTGTAGGCCTAGTACAGTGGGGGGATTTTTCTTAAGATTATGCTTCTTCCACACCCAAAATCATTACAAAAAATTCTGGTGCATGTTGCAGTTTATGTATTTTATGGTCATAAGTCATCAATGTTACAATTGCACAAAGCATATAAAGGAGAGGAAAATGGGCAAGTGGATATCTTTCTTCATGAAGGGGCTGGTTTTTTACCTCTAAGAAAAATTTAAATGGCAAAACATCACTTATATCTGGATAACCCCTCATTCTCTGTTGCTCTGTTTCAGGAGACCTGGGAAATGCTTGTTTGGATGAATTGAGGATCCTGTGATTTCTCCGCTCTCCCTTTCCCTCCCTTGCCGTCTGGTTTAAAGTTACTTTTTGACTTGTGGCTTTTTGGTGTGAATTTGGTGTGAGGTAGTGTTGGTGCAAGTTTTCCTCTAAGCAAAAACAGTTGTAGTTTTTGCTGCCCTGTCACTTCCGTTAGCGGCTGTTGCTCCGAGTCTTGCAGAGAAGGCATCAGAGGAATTTAAAATGGTCTTGTTCTTTTGTTAAATCTCAGTTACCATGGGCTTTTTGTTTGTTTGGCCCAAGATTATCATGAAGATTCATAATTTGGTGGAATCTCTGCCAACTTTTTCTTTGGGTTATTCTTTCTTTAGTAGAGAGAGAGAGATATCTAGGTATATTGCCTGATCTTGCTTTTCGTCCAGACAGTCAGATGTATTATGGTCTGTTGGGAGGGAAAGGTCTTTTCAGGAAATCATTTTATAATGATTTCTCTGTTGGTTTTCATGGCTAACAGAAAACAAACGATAAAAAATCCCTAGCTTGATGACTGTAATGTTTTTATAAATGCCTGTATCTATGTGTGTTGGAAAAGGATTTGTCTCCGTGCTTGATTCTTCTCTTTAAAGATTCGGATTAATCCTAAAAGTGTTTACTCAGATGTGATGAATTACAAGTGGATGAAATTACATTGTTGTCAGATTGACTCATCATCCTGCTTTGCTCCCCCAGTTGAGAACATTGACTTCCAGCTCTGAAGAGTTTCCTCACTCGAAGACCTGGGTTTTACACAGATGACATATCTCCCGTGTTAGAGATCTAGAAGGTTTTGATAGCTGGGTTTTGAGATGATAATCAAGGATAAGAGAAGAAAAAAAACAGGGGGTAGGACAGCTGGAAGGGAAGGAAGAACAATACCTATCTCTCTGACTTACTTATGATAAGCTTCTAGCCAAAAAAGATGTGCAGGGTCATTAAGTGAGATGAGGAGATTGGGGAATGTTTTAGGATATATCAGCTGGCAAGCAGTTTGAAATGCCCTGATGCCACGTAAAGCATTGCCCCAGATGGAGCATGTGGCAGTGAGAGATTATCTTGGTTTGGTTGTATGTCTTATGCAGTTGCTGCACTTTAGTCTCTAGGTCTTCGTGCCTTTTATAATCAATGGTGAGAGTGTTGCTTGGTGGCTAGAACATGCTGCACCCTGGTGTCTCCCTTCACTCTGTATAAAAGGGGAAAAATAATAATTGCTTCTCTGGAAAGCTTTTTCTAGTTCTGTGGTTGATAAATAATAGGACTATGATTATTAGAAGTAGGTTTTATTTTGTAGTCTTCTAAAACACTTTAATCTTAGGAATAGGAGACTGTAGATGTGAGGGAGTTTGGACTGAAGGCCTCTAGGAGGACAATGTCTGTTTCTGAATATTTCTGCGTAATTCTATGAGAATTTTTGCGGCAAACTGAAGAGGAGAATTGTTCCTTGCTGTACTCAGCATTTTGCTAAACACTGTTCATTCCCAATAGCTAAAATAGCCTGAATACTATGAGGGCTTCTTACTAACCTATAACTATGTTAATGCCTTTCTTGCCACAAGGGTAGTTTCTCTCAGTAAAAAGCCAAAAAATTGTACACTGCAGAATGCATACCATGAACATTGCCAACAAGCTGCTAATGCAACTTCCCTGTGAAAATGAAGCCGTATTTACAAGGCTGCCTTGCTCTGGGGGAAACTTTCAGTGGAAACTAGTTGCTGTGAAAGGAAAATCTGGTTAATGGAAGTGTTTGGTTGGGTTTGGGTGCTTTGTACCTTCAGGTGCACAGGATCTGCAAACTACTTGTGCCAAAAGTCTGTTTTCTAGTAAAACGCTCTGATACTTTGAGCTTTATGAAACTCTGAAAATAGTTTAAATTGGCTATGGGCATGGGCAGAGGATGTCCTTCTCACAGACTTTGGCATTTCCAGTTTTGTTAACATGAGGGTCAGTTATGTTTGGATACCATTTGGTGGCTAGGCTGCCTTCAGAGTAACAGTTTGCTGTGCCTGCCATTTAACAGTTACTGGTCTAGATAAGATAGGAGAGATTTGTATCTTTGAATCCTGAAGAAATGAAAATAAGACTCTGAATCTGGTTCTAAAGCTGAACATCTTGTCTTAAATTCCCGATGAGAACCTAGAGTAAGGTTGACTTGACAGTAACAAGGGATTGCAGACTGGGGTTGGGGGAGGAAGGGGAAAGAGGGCTGTCTTATCTGCTCTTCGCAGACAAGAGCTTGTTATTATCTGTCTGGGTGACTTCAATAGAGATTAAGGAAAACAACGTGTATGTTTCCGTGAGCAGAAACAAGCACATTCCCTTGGTAAGAAGTGTTCAGGAAATTTGTTGTGGGGCCCTGTGTAATGGCACAGTTCTGCTGCTGTGGAATCTGTCTCATAAATCCATAGCCCAAGCTCAGGAGAGACCTTCCTGATCTTGGTGTTTTACCACTTGCACAGAATGGACCAAAGAATTTCTTACACAAACTTTAAATATATGTATATTAAGGCACAGAGATTGGTCTCCTGATTTACAGTTCTGAATTTAAGCTTTCCCCTTGCAACTTAATCTAACTCAAACTAATGTAAATGCAGCTTTATAAAATGATTTCATTGTTGGGGAGAAAGATCATAGAATCTTGTAAGATACTTGTATGCATTTACAGCACCTGGAATAGTGATAGGAGGAGGCTTGTGGGCTAGTACAGGCATCTTAACCACTGCTTTCTAGCCCTGTTAGATGCCTATAACTGATCTAAAGTAACAGTTATATTGCATTTTATAGCTCTGAAAAATATATGCTGTTTTTCCTGTGTAAAAATTGTTAAGCTAGAAATTTTACTGCACTGCTGGGAGAAGTGAGCTGTCACTCATTCAGCTCCTCACGCTGTCAGCTTTGGAACTTGGAGATGACAAACATTGGCACAAGCACTTGTTTTGCAACAGAAACATCCGTTATACTTACACTTTGCCTCCCGGACACCTTTTGGTATGTTGTGAGAAAAGCCTGCCCTCGGCTCTCCAAGGTGCTGTAGCTTTTTTCTTCTGATGATTTCTGATGTGGTTACAATTGCCAGTAGAGAAATTGCTGGCAGACTGAAAATGTGTGGGCAATGACAAATGAACTGTTATTTCAAAATGCACACAGAAGACTCTGCTGATTTGGTTGTATTAGTCTACATTTATTCTTAATTTCTAAAAGTTATGACTTTTTTTTTTTTTTTTAAATTGGAACAGAGCCACCACAGAATCAACAGATTGCTGCCTTTTCAAGCAACAGCAGTCAAGGCTAAGCTCATGTCATGAAAGACTGTCTGGGCTTTGTCATCTCTAAAGACAGCCAAGAGTTGTCTAATGACAGAAAAAAGTTGCACTTGTAGGCACGTTAATTATGGTTTGGGGAGTGGAAAGAGTTTCCTGAAGCTGAGCAGTAGTCAAATTAGAAGCACTGTGCAGATACACAACATTTCTTTGGCTGATCATCTCTTTCACCTCATGTTGAAGATGTAGTAGAAAAGAGAAGATTTTGCTTTACATCTTTCGTGTGCAGTTCAGTTACACAACTTTTTTGTTTGTTTTTTTTTTTTCCTCCTCTCTCCTTTCTCCCACATCTCTATTCTCCAAACTGCCAACTACATCTACTGCCTGTATTCGTCTGAAGTGGGAAGATTTCAAAGTACAGAAGCTTTGACAAAGTTTTTTTGTGGTTTGTATCCAAGCTAACTTCTTCTATTTCTGTGGTTTACTTGGGGCTACATATTCATCTATATGGAGATGATGATCAGAGTGGAAAATATGTGCATTTCGTATTTGGCCTAGCAATTACTTCTCATTCTGTAGAAAACAAAACAAACATAAAAGTCCTGCTTACTCTCAAAATATCTGGTTGTCAGACCTCTTTTGCAGAAGCTCCCTATTGTATCCTTTTTGTAATGGACTGATAACGAGTGGGTTTATTCCCTTGCACAACACTTCTCAAAAAAAAGCATTGTGTTTGTTCATCTTTTCTTCCATTGTTCACCTTTGTTCCTTTCTGGTGAAGTAGTTTTCTCTTTCTCCAGTTTCTACTATTTTATACAGGCTGAATGGCTAACTGTATTTAAAGGTATTTGTAAAATGCCTCTAGCAGAAGAGTTTAGGCACCTCTGTTCTTGCATCTCTGCTAACTGAAATGGAAAGAGAGACCATGCTTGTATTTCTGGCTGGCTGTGTTGGGTCATTATTTAAGGGGCAAGATGGAAAAGGGGGCTGCTGTTGAAGAACTCCGGAAGATTTGCCCAAATTTGCTGCTAATGGGATAGGATATTTTCACCTCTCCCTTCTCTGTCTTGCTCTTTTTCTTTCTCTTCGCTTTGCAGGACTGCTTAAATTCCTTCATCATCTTGCAGTGCATGTCCATGTCACAACCTGACGCTGTGGGGAACTGCTAGTCCAAGGCTGACTCTTTGCTTTTGCTGCAGGCTGAGTCCTTGGGTTTGGAGACTTGTTGACATCACTGAGATTGACGCTTGGACCTTCAAGAGAAGAGACTTTCTGACAGCCCTGCTCCACTCCACCTGACCCTATGACTGGAGGGTTCACTGTAGCTCCATCCTTTGCTCTCCAGTTCCAAAAGATGGGTTCATTCAGAAGGCCCCGACCTCGCTTCATGAGCTCTCCGGTCCTCAGTGACCTGCCGCGGTTCCAGGCAGCCCGGCAGGCTCTGCAGCTCAGCTCCAACTCGGCCTGGAACAGGTGAGCAGGACCCACCTGGACTGAGCTCTCGCCCTGCAGCAGCCCCGCAATAAGGGCCGTGTGTGTCTGATCTTTGTGCTTCAGACCATTTATGGTTAAGCTCGTTTGTTTATAAGCATGTATGAATTTTTGGCATGCCCAAGCTTTGCCGGCATTGAAACCCTCTGTGGAGGTGAAAAAATTAGACCTAGTAGTGTTCAGCCTTGGTTTTGGCCAACGTTGTTCAGAGGTACTGTCTTGAAGTAAAGCAGAATTGCTCTTTGTTAACATTGCATCTTTTAAGTACCATTTAGGAGAACACATTCCTAGTACTGTAATAAAGGTCAGTTTCTTAATGCACAACAGGCATTTATTTGCATATTATGAAGCTTTTACTGCAGTCAAGTTCCTCTGACAACTGCTAAGCTTGTGGCTTCTACCAGCATTTCCTATTGACAGCCAAATCCTGTCTGCAGTGTGTGTCATGCAGCAATGGCAACTGGAAAAACAATGTGTAGGGTGAAGACTGAGATGTCCTGATCTGATCTAATGGTTTGCTGCTACCAAAAGTGGGTGTTCCCACCTTCCCTTCTGCCACCTTGCACCAGCTCTGTGCTCTGCAGACCCCTCTCTCTTGCTGACCTAGCTCAGCTTACTAATATCGCACAAAAGTAGCCCATCAAAAACATTGCAGTTTTGTGCCAGGATAGTGAGCTGAGGTCTGTGAAGCGTGCAAATGCCATAACTGGCCCACAGTATCATAGAATCATAGCATCATTAAGGTTGGAAAAGACCTCTAAGATCATCGAGTCCAGCCATCAACCCAACACCACCATGCCCACTAAACCATGTCCCTAAGCGCCTCATCTACACGTCTTTTAAATATCTCCAGGGATGGTGACTCAACCACTTCCCTGGGCAAGCCTGGTCCAATGCTTGACAACCCTTTCAGTGAAGAAATTTTTCCTCATGTCCAATCTAAACCTCCCCTGGCGCAACTTGAGGCCATTTCCTCTCGTCCCATCGCCAGTTACTTGGGAGAAGACACCAACACCCACCTCGCTACAACCTCCTTTCAGGTGGTTGTAGAGCATGATAAGGTCTCCCCTCAGCCTCCTTTTCTCCAGGCTAAACAACCCCAGTTCCCTCAGCCGCTCCTCATAAGACTTGTTCTCCAGACCCCTCACCAGCCTCGTTGCCTTTCTCTGGACACGTTCCAACATCTCAACATCCTTCTTGTAGTGAGGGGCCCAAAACTGAACACAGTATTCGAGGTGCGGCCTCACCAGTGCCGAGTACAGGGGCACGATCACTTCCCTGCTCCTGCTGGCCACACTATTCTGATACAGGCCAGGATGCCATTGGCCTTCTTGGCTGCCTGGGCACACTGCCGGCTCATGTTCAGCCGGCTGTCAACCAGCACCCAGAAGGGAATGCCCGTTAAGGGAATGACACCTCCTCTTGTTAGCTATGGCAAGCCTTTAGACGTGCTAAACCATATTATATGCTGTCACTTTATGACTTCCTTTGTGCTGGTGAGAGAAGTATGAGTTGGAAGATCCTCCAACAGCATCTTAGAAGCATTAACAGGGCTTAAAGTTGGGTCTGACTGAGATGATGCTGGCTGCAGAATGTCTTCTAGCACAGCCAGGGTCCTGCCAGATGCTGCAGATTGGGTGGTTCCTGCTAGCATCACTGGATAATGCAATGTGATGTGTTTGGCAGATATTGCCAAAAATCTATGTCTCCTCATAGCAACTAGCCTGCAGCACACAGCAGAGATCCCCTAAATAGTCATGTTAAAGATATATCTGGTGTGAATGTGCTCTTTGTGAACAGTGTCCCTGTAACAACTTTCCCTTGCTTACTCTAGGCACAACTTGAGATTGGTTCTGCTCTGTCTCCCATGAGAGATGTAGGTAAATAAGAGTGATGATTTCCAGGGAAGAAAGAGTAGAAGTATTTAAGTGCAATTAACCTCTCCACCCCATTATAACCACTCAGCTTTTGGCAGCTAGCTCACATTGCGCTCTGTGTTAAATCATACTGGTGGCTGTTATTTATGGATGTTGTACTGTCTCATTTCTTTTTTGGCAGTGTTCAAACAGCAGTGATAAATGTGTTCAAAGGGGGAGGCTTGCAGAACAATGAACTTTACACCCTCAATGAAAATATCAGGTAGGTTGCTGAAATGCATGAAAAGGGATTTTTGTTGCTGCCTGTTTGATGTTCTTGGTTTTGTTCCCCTACAGAACCGCAGTTAGAGGATATTGGTGGAAGGAGCAGGGATCGAAGCAAACTTAAGCACAGCTTTGGGATTTCAGGCTAACTTACTTCTTTTTTACTATTGGGTGGAGTGAATGGCATGGGGCACTTGGATAATATTTCTCTGACTTGTGTGGATGTGTAGCTTTGACAAGGACTGGATGTGTATTGACTTGGATTATAAGGATTTCATCCCCTCCTAGGGAGTTTGCCTCTTCTGTCTGTTTTTTACACATTTTTGTCAGGGCATTTGTGATGGTAGCAACATCTCTTTTCTAAACCCAAGCTTCTCAGAACTGTGGAGTGTTTAAAATGAAAGCAAAATACAGCATTTCATTTAAAAGCTTAATCTTTACATGATAATTGCAGAGCAAGACCTGCAAATATGAACCCTAAAGATAAAAAAACTAAAAGCTTAACAAACATTTTCTAACACTGATGCTAGTGATGATTAAAAGTATTATTTTTTTTAAGCAGGTTTCATGATTATCTGTGCTTTCATCCTGATTATTTGGGAATTTTGGTTAGCAATAGATAGGACTGCAGAGTAGATAAAGAACAATTCATTCTTGCCTTGGTTCCAAGTGCTGCTAAGAGGTGTGTTGTCAGAGCTCATGGATGTAGTTCCTCCTCCCTCTCTCTTTCCCACTACATCCATATTAATTCATCATGAATGCTGTCATATAGGTCTCTGCTTCTCCTTTTATATGTCCCCCCATCCCTATTGCATTTTTCCTGAGCGCCAAGATTCAAATGGCAATTTGGGCTAAGCATGTACTA